AAAAAATTATAATTTTTTACACCAAAATAATTTACGGGAGCTTTAAATTTTTTTTAAATAGGCCTAGTGACGCCACTGGTCTGAGATTTTTAAAAATGCAACCGTGGTTTAGATTCTGTTCCTGTGTTAGCAAAAAGTAACTGTAGCAGCTGTAGCCACACTTTATTCATACAGATTCTCATCAGATATGGCAAGCAAAGTGGATTCCCCAGAGTAAAATAGGCAAAGTAATATTCCACTCCCTATGTAACACAATTCATTTTTACACTGCCCTGAAATGTGTTTTATTTACCGTATAAAGCTAAACTTTTTTCTCAGTGCTCCAGGTCAAAACTATTTTTAGATGTGAAGGCATTTCKACGACTCCCCTGGGCAACGCATCAAACAGGACTGGCAACATAAACATCTGGGAATTGAGTTTCAGCTTGTGAAAATACACAGAGCAGAAAATAAGTAGATACTGACTGGTTTTTGGTCTTTCTCATACCTAAAATACCTAAAATGATCCAGTCATAAGAGGGTGTCTGATTTAAGCACATCTGTTTAAAACAGGGTGTTCAAAGAGGATTAACTGTTTTTTTTCTTTCTGGGGCAAAACTGCCAATACAACAGAAAAACATCCAAGAGCCGAGCAATGTTCCAACCATCAGTATCGACACAAAGAAGATGTTTATACRTCCATTTTAGCAGCTCTGTTCTTTAGAAGGCAGAATACACAGAATTTATTCAAAACAAAAATATCTATTGTTTTAACAATAACCCCCCCCCCACCCAAAAAAAATCAATGTAACAATTTTAATCTGATCAAACTTTATATATAAAGCAAGTTTAATGCTAAAAAATACACCAATGCTCCCCAATAACTTAATGTTTTTTGCACACTGTGCAGACATAGATTGATAGATAGACACAGAATCATGAAGGTCAGATAACACATAAAGGGCAGGTAAAATGAGGTGGGTTCAGAGGACTAGGTGAAGTTGAGGGAGGGTGGGGGTCCGTGCTAGGCCCAACCCTGTCCCCACCCAGAGTCACATGATGTTGTTTTCTCTACTCAGTTCGCTGGAGTTCAGAGATTTTCCTCCTCCTCAGCCAGTTGAGTTCCAAGGTCAGATCCAACACAGGTGATGGGGGTGGGAGCGAACCCAGCTCTTAGTTGACATTCCATCCTGGAGAGTTTAAGATAAGCACTGCCCTCAAGGC